GCCACACCCCTGACAGCACAGCTCATTGGCATATTAGGCCACACCCCCATGTTGCCAGAAGTGTGGTCATCCAGCCACACCCACCTTTTGCTTCTTATTCCGTTTACCTTGTTTGTTGCCAAAACCCAGGGCTTTTCTTGTAGCAGGAACTCCTTTGCATGTTAGGCCACACACCCCTAATGTAGCCAGTCCTAATGAGTTTCTGCTGTTGGTTGTGGCCTATTATGCTAATGAGTTCCTGCTGGGTGTGGCCAACTTGGGAGCCAGCCCGAACTCCGTTCCTGTGCGTTCCTGCCCAAAAATTGCCCTGCCCCACCCTTCACCACCCAAAGGTGTCTCAGAGCGGCTTACAAACTCCTTTCCCTTCCCCTCCCCACAACAGACACCCTGTAAGGTAGGCGGGGCTGAGAGAGCTGTGACAGAAACTGCTGTTTTTTCAAGGACAGCTCTTGTCAGAACTACGGCTTGCCCAAGGTCATCTAGCCAGGTGCAAGTGGAGGACTGGGGAATCAAACCCAGTTCTCCCAGATTAGAGTCCGCGCACTTAACCACTACACCAAACTGGCTCTCTGATCAACAACACAGAAGGCGTTGCCGTTAGCTCACACGCCAGGGAGAAACTGATTTCGCCAAAAAAAGTGCCAATCAGGTTCAGATCAAAAATCGGCATTTTTAAAGGAAGAGCTGTTTCTTCCGCGTCTGCGTAGATTTATTTGAAATACTTATATCCCACTATCAACAGGACTCCGGCACACCTATACCACTGTCTAATTCAACTTGCCCTGTCTAGAGTGCTGTTTGGGGAGGGGGGGGGTGTTCCGTCCTAATTTTTGCTTGTGGCTTGGTGCTCACGTTGTGAACTTCCGGGAGTTGGTCGCGGATTAAAGGTTAATAACCACTGTGCAAAATCACCCATTGTTGGACTGCATCTGCGAAACTTGGCGGTTGTCGTTTAGCCGTGCTGTAGCGCTTGGCAGATCGTAGAGAAAACATTTCTTTATCTTTGGCTACAGCTCCGTCCATGGGAAATGAGGGACCAGACTGGGCAAGTTAGCTGTTCCAGGCCCTTCAAATGCGACCCATAGCCATTTTTTTTGGGGGTGGCGACTAAAACTTAGTATCCCTGGTCCACTGGAAGCTTTTTGGAGAAGGAATTATTGTTATGTTGCCAAGTGCTAATGACTTGCTTCCAACGGTATGTCGGCACTCGGTGTGTAGATGGTTGTCGCAGGACGCTCTGCTGATACAAGAGGGAAAATGGCAATGTCACTCCTTTCCGCCTCCGCACTGCACTGTATCAAACCGTGAGGCTGTTCAGCCACATGATCCCTTGATTCCAGGCAGGGCTCTTTTTGTAGAAAAAGCCCAGCAGGAACTCATTAGCATAATTAGCCACACCCAACAGCAGACACTTATTAGTCTATTAGACCACACCCCTGACAGCACAGGTCATTCGCATATGAGGCCACACTCCTGTGTTACCAGAACTGTGGTCATCCAGCCACACCCACCTTTTGCTTCTTATTCTGTTTACCTTGTTTGTTGTCAACACCCAGGGCCTTTTTTTGTAGCAGGAACTCCTTTGCATGTTAGGCCACACAACCCTAATGTAGCCAATCCTAATGAGTTTCTGCTGTTGGGTGTGGCCTATTATGCTAATGAGTTCCTGCTGGGCATGGCCAACTCAGGAGCCAGCCGGAACTTCGTTCCTGTGCGTTCTTGACCAAAAATAGCCCTGATTCTAGGCAAAAGCTTACCAGTGGTTGGTCTAAGGCAGTGGCCCTCGACATTTTCTAGCCTGCGGGCACCTCTGGAATTCCGACAGCATGGTGGGTGCAGCTGCAAAATGGCTGCCCCAAAATGGCTGCCAGAGGAGGGGAAGCCAGCCACAAAATGGCTGCCACGGGAGGAGGAGCCAGCCACAAAATGGCTGCCGCAGTCACACAGCGGAGATCCTTGTGTCGTGGTCTCAGCTACTGCCAAACTGACTTAAAAAACACACCAAAAAACTACAGAGCCAATCAAATCTCCAGTGGCCAATCAAAAGCCTTGCTGGGCAAAAGTCCCACCTAGCCTCGCCCACTTTATGAAAATACTTAGCAGGCACAAGGAAAGGTATTGGCAGGTGCCATGGCACCCATTGGGGACGCCTGGTTTAAGGGGTAGAGAGGGAGATGCAGGAAAACTCTGTGCCCCTTCTGGTAGCAGTTTGTTGGGTACTAGCCCATGTTATTTGGGAACTGTGCGGCTGCTTACCTGGTTGTTAGAGCTTTGGAAAGCACAGTTCGTAGTCCAAAGTCTTTCCTGCAGCTACAATATCATTTTCATGTCTACTTTTATTGTGTCCACCGTAGGCACGTCCGGCACGATTTAACAAAACGAGTTATAATTACTTTATGTACATAAAAGCCAGCAAGCAAAAGTGGGTTCTGTTGTTCCAGCGAGAATGTAAAACCTCAAACCCCCTTCCCACCCCCGGGGAATGTTAGATCTGCTCCTGGCCTGCTTATCTAGAGACTTCCTGAGCAATGACGATGCATCGTTCCGGGCTGGATGAGTCCCAGCTTCAACAGGGCAACCAAACAAATAAACACGCTAAGAAAAGACACATGCCCAGGCAGGCGTCTTGTGGAAACATAAAGAAATCAAATTAACAGACGGAGGACTGTTGCCTTCTGCCACATAGCCGGCCCGGGGAAGGAAGGATCTTGGAGCAGCAACACAACAGGTAGAGACCGGGCCGGCATCAGCAGCATCCGAGGTGGGGCCACTGCCAGAACCAGGGCTTCTGGTGGGGCCCGCTGACACTCCCCCCCATGCTCTCCCGCCACTTGTCTACATGTCCTCCCCCCTTTGAAAGCAAGTTTGGTGTAGGGGTTAAGAGCGTAGACTCTAATCTGCGAGAACCGGGTTTGATTCCCCACTCCTTCACTTGCACCTGGCTGGATGACCTTGGGCAAGCCATAGTTCTGCCAGAGCTGTTTTTGAAAAAAGAGCAGTTTCTGTCAGAGCTCTCTCAGCCCCACCTATTTCATAGGGTGTCTGTTGAGGGGACGGGAAGGGAAAAGAGTTTGTAAGCCGCTCTGAGGTCCTTTCCAGACTTAAGAGCGTAGACTCTAATCTGCGAGTACTGGGTTTGATTCCCCACTCCTCCACTTGCACCTGGCTGGATGACCTTGGGCAAGCCATAGTTCTGTCAGAGCTGTTCTTGAAAAAAGAGCAGTTTCTGTCAGAGCTCTCTCGGCCCCACCTGCCTCACAGGGTGCCTGTTGTGGGGAGGGGAAGGGAAAGGAGATTGTAAGCCGCTCTGAGGCTCCCTTGGGTAGTGAAGGGCGGGGTATAAATCCAACCTCCTCCTCCTCCTCTTCTTCGTTTGCTTGAAGTGCTCCTCCATCTGTGCTCCCAGCTGCCCGGTGTCATTGAGGAAGGTTGTGCGGGTAGTGCACAGTGGAGGCTTTCCTGGTGGCCGGGGCAGCAGCTCTCTCCAGGACATGCACTGGGCAGTAGGGTTGCCAGTGTTTTTTTTTTGGGGGGGGGGTCCCTCTTCATGCCCTGGAGTTTTTATGGTCACCATAGAGGTTTTTCCCCCTCAGATGCTAGAGCAGGGGTGGGCAAACTTGCTTAATGTTAAGAGCCACATAGAA